TCTCCTTCGTTTTCCTAAAGGATGAGGTGTCAGCTCTGAGGCGGCGCCTGGAGAAGTCTGAGAAAGAGAGAAATGAGCTGAGGCAGGCAACAGACAGCCTGGAGACCAAGGTTTGGGAAGCAGCACAACCTTTTCCCCCACTCTACACACCCACAATGCTATAACTATGATCTGTATGTATAGGTTACGGCTGTGACATCTGAGCTAAGCGATGAGCGTTTCCGTGGAGATGCGGTGGGCCAGGCTCTGGATGTGGAGAGGGCGGAGAGACTTCGACTCAGCAGGGAGAACAAAGACCTGCTGGTTGGCCTGCTAATAGAACCAACACTCACTGTGGTGATAACTTTTAATTTCTGCTGTTTACTTTGACTAAAAATTCAATTTCTGACTTCCCCAAGGCTCGGCTGGACCAGTTTAAAGTTACCATGGAAACCCTGGAGAAGCAGCTGGAGGAGGAGAAGCAGAAAGCTCAAGCTGCTGCAAATCAGAGAGGAGCTGCAACAGGTGTGGGGAATATATTGTTGCCGAGACGGAAAACAAAATGATCAGAAAAAAAAACAAAACCCTGAAGTTTTGTTGCTTTAAAAGACAAAATCGTTCGGACATTTCTGCATAGTGCAAAGGAATCTAAAACAAACCTTAGGTTTTACTGCAGGAAGTTTTTTCCTGCAGCTACTTCAAGTTTGTTGATGGAAGGTTTGTGACCTGGCCTCTGCAACACCTGAGAGAACAAAAGCTTTAATGAACTAAGACTCAAGACATCTCAGGCTGACAAATTAAGACCCGTGTGTCCCATCATTCAGAGGGTGAACTCACCACGCAGCTGGAGTGCTGCCAGACGGAGGTGGAGTTCGTCCGCAGGCGACTGAAGCAGACGGAGGAGAAGCTGGAGACGGAGAGGCAGACCAGGCAACAGCTCGACGCCAAGGTGAGAAAGGACACGCCGACGTGCACAGCATCGCTGAAAGCAGATTAACTCTCCCACACGTGTGTAATGGTGTGAATGTGCGCAGGTCGCAGCACTGCAGGCCCAGCTGGAGCAGTCTCGGAGGAGCATGTTGGAGCTGAAACGTCACTGCCGCCGGGTGACCTCTGACCTTCAGGATGCTAGAGTGCTCAGCGATGCCCTGCAGAGCCGCATGCATGAACTGGAGCGCAAACAGAGAAGGTTCCCCCTCCCTTTACTACTTTATTTTCATCCCGCTAATAAAATAAAGATATCGCCTTCATCATCATCATCATCTCTAGTTGACTAATGAACAACAATACCAGTGTTAACGAAAGTGTTTCCTACTAATAATGCTTCCCTTCCAGCAAACTCCCTTGCTGCCTGTTATTGGTGTGCTTCTCTGTGTTGTTGCAGGTTTGATAATGAGCTGGCTCAGGCTTTAGAGGAAGCCAATAACACCAGAGAGCAAAAGGAAAAAGTCTTACAAGAGAATTCAGCTCTGGGGACTGAAGTATTCAACCTGCGGCGCAGCCTACAGGTGTGTTTGTGTAATGTTTTTGTTCTCACAACACCAACCTGTTCTACATGTCGTCAAACCCCAAACATTGAGGATATTATGTGACTTTTTATTTAGCAGTAAGTAAATATGGAGGGAATGAGGGGAGTGTGGTGTCACTACCCAATCCGTCCCGGAAGCACGATCCTTTCTGCGTAGGCGCCATCAGCTCATTTGTGCATCCCGATATACATCCAGGTTATCCTCGATTTTATTTTGTTAAATATACCTAAATGATGCCTTCCTTCCCCCAGATTAGTAAATTAAATGCAATATAATGTGTTAGAGGTTAATAATGTATTTCCTGAGAAAATAAATGTCTTAAAACCTTTATTTTATCAGTCGTCTCTGCACCGGAAATGGGAAACTACGCTACTTCCTGTGGCTAACTGTTTCGGCTTTGGATTTATCTTTGTTGAGTTTTCCTTACATGTTAACATTATGTTATATAGTGCGTAATCTAAAGAGAGAAACAACTAAAATGCAGATAAACATGGTTTAATCATATTTTGCCGGACTGCTCGGAGCGTGTCCCATAATTACGTCAGAGAAGCGGTTTAACAAAAAAAATGTAAAAAGCAAAACAATTGTCTTAAAAAAGTCATAAAGCATTTTTTACAGATGTGTATTAGTATTCTTTAGTGAGTTAAGGATAGAAATAAGTAGGTTTAGTACCATAATTACATTATTTATGGACACCCAGATGTAAATCTATTTGCGTATGCGCAGAAATAATCGTGCCTTCTGGAAGTATCGGGTAGTGACATGCGGTGTAGGTACCTGATCTGGTCATCATATGGCAACTCCTCTTGGACAAACTGTATTGCACCCATTTGTTAAGGATCAAATCTCTTTTGGAGTCTCAACATTTTATTACCTATATTTATCTATTATTTTACATTTCATTGATGATCTAAAGTAGCGGAAAGTAGAAAACAATCATCGTCAGTCTTGAAGGAAAGTGCTGCTTTCTAAGACTGAGCTCTGCCTATTTGACAAGATGACAAATAAAGTCTCAGCTTATTTTTATTTGTTTTTATGAAGATTTATTTTTATTAATTCCTAAAGTCCTGAAAAAGTAGAGATTTTTGACGAAGAAAACAACAGTGATTCTACTTGTAGAAAGCGAATGGTTGTTGTTGATACAAATTCAAAAGTAGTGGAGGTTAATATGACTAACTGACCGAGCTACAAGAGGCCACTGAGCACAGTTAGCCACAGCGCTACCCAGCTCTCCCCCTTTATATCAAGGTCTAAAAGTAACTTTGTTCACCATGAACAGATTTTTTTCAGTTTTGTTATTGATCAGTTAAAACTTTATCAGTCATTTGACACGATAACACCCTAGATGCTCCCGACTTGACTCAGAGGTTCTGAGTTCAAGCCCCACTCCCACAGACTGCCACTCTGGGTCCCTGGACAATGTCACTTTACCCCACACTGCTCCCGCATGATGGCAGCCCACTCCTCACCATGGGGATGGGTTCAATGCAGAGACAATAAAAGCTGGAATTTTGTTCCACTATTGTTGCAAAAAGAAAATGTCCTATAAATGGAAATCTGAGGGAAAAAAATACAGGAATGAAACTTTGAAAAACTTCTTCTTTAAAAATACTTTTCAAGTGTAACTTAACTGTTTTTTTTTCTTCTATATTTTTTTCAATTGTATTTTTTCAAGCTTAATATTTTTTGTTTTTTACCATGGATTATATTATTTTTTTGTTCATTTGTCTCTTCTTCAGATTGAGTTTTAACAATTGAATTCTTTAGATTTATGTTTTATAGATCACATTATCCTCACCTTACGCCCAAAACAAACTTCTCCTCTCAACTAATACAATATTGTTGCTAACATCCAGCAGACCGATAGTAACACATCTTGACTCCTCACTACAGAGGAAAGCCCGCCCCCAGAAGTGAAGAGAAGAAAAAGAGAAATCTGAAATAAATTAATAATTACAAAAATAAAATAAAAATAAAAACATTTGACAATTTTGAATAAAAAAAAAACATTTGAAACAATACAAAACAGTACAATTAAGGGAAAGCGGTAAAGTTACTCTCAGAAACTTTTGATTTGTATTTTTAAAATTTTTCTGTATTGCATTTATTTTTTCTTCCAATTTCCATGTTAAGGCCCTGTCACACTAACCTGACTCGGCCAGATGGATTTGCTCCGCATATCCATCTGGAAACCTTCCGTTGAAGTAATTTTGGGAAGGGGCGAAAATACTGGTTAGCTGATTGGCCTATGTTGGTGATAGAGGGGCCAAATAAACCAATCAGATCAAGAAGCATATGACGTACTAACAGAGGGACGACGAAAACACAACCACAAGCCGAAACCAGTCGGGAGACTCTTCTTTCAGTGAAGAAATACTCTGTAATTCCGATAAAACTTGCTCGATAGCCACGCTAATGCTAGTTTCATCGGCTGAAGCCGCCATGTTCTTTAGACTGAACTGTCGCGCTTCTCATTTTGTCACACCTCAACCCGCCTCAAAGCCAACGTTGATTGGACGTTCGTTTGGTGAACGGCTCCAAATTTTCCTTAACAGAGAGTCTCCAGACTGATCTGCGAGTGAAACCTTGAAAGCTCGCGAGATCAGGATGGTCTCACGAGGCTAATGTCACACCTTGCCGATGTAGCCAGTATCTCCTAAAACGCTGGCATACGCTGAACTTTCTATGTATTTTTTTTAATTTTGGGCGTTTTTATGCATAGAGTATTCATAACAAGTCCAGAACTCATGTCCAACAACAGCCTAACTTATTCATAATGCATGGCAGCCTAATGCCCATGAAATGATGCATTATGTGTTACGCATTAGAAGTTAAAGCTGCTCCCCTCAGGTGTGTCGAGCAGCATAAAGATTTCTTTGATCGCGGTATTGACCTAGCTACTGTTTACCGCCCGCCAAAAAAAGAAAAGTAGGGATAAGGAATAAAGAAAAAGAAAGAAGGTTTGCAGTGGCAGCAGATTCAGCTTCATGTCTAGTAGAAAGTTTCTTGGCCATGGGTGTGAACGCAGGAAGGATCCATCGCTCTCACCTTCTGGCTCACCCTATGACGGGGATAAAGTCTGGAGGATAACTTTTTTATTGTTATTGCACAATACTCCTTTCAAATATTTATACTTTCATTTTTTTTATGAAGTTTGCTACATCATGGTTAGGTCCACCAATACGGTGTCTTTGATAATTTGGATAGAAACTTCTTCCTTTAGAGAAATAAAGATTAAGGGGAAATTAAATCTGGAAGGCTCTTATCAGCTTCACCTGAACCACCTGCGAGGTCCCTCATTCAGCTCCAGCCAATCACCTCGGTGCAGCACCTTCTCTCCAAAGCCAATCATCTTTCAAGATCCCTTTCATTTAGCTCTTGGCCTAACTTCTTTCTCCCTCATTCTTAGTCCAACTCACCCTCTGGCTTATTCCACCACCAGTGTCCAGGCTGCGAAAGAAAACTACTTTAATCCCTTGCTAGGTTACTCATCCAAGCAAATGCTTATTCACAGCATTGAAGTCTTTTGCCATGGCCGGAGCGCCAAAGACCTTATTTCATTTATGTCTCTTTCTGCTTCTGTCTCCTTGAACCCCAGTCGGCCTCAGCAGATGGCCGCTCACACCGAGCCTGGTTCTGCTTGAAGTTCTTCTTGTTAAAATGGAGTTTTCCTCTCCACTGTCGCTAAATGCATGCTCATTGCAAGGGATTGCATAGAGTCAATGAGTCCTCGCACTCAGCCGGATATAATTATGGAAATATTTGTAAAAATATGATTGTGTTACCTGTATAAATAAATGGAATATTTTCTAATTGCGTCTTTTCTCTGTGTGAGTCTCTCCAGGTTGAAATATTTCCATCTCATATTTAATTTTCAGCTGTGGTTCATATCCACTGACTCGTGTGAGATATTCCATGGAGTATTCCTTTCATTTTGGTACCAAAATAATTCTAATAAATATTGTAGTTCTGAAGATTTAATGACTTTATTTGCTCCTTAAAAAGAGGCCTGGGGAACAGGAGGTAACATTATTGTGTTGCCTATTGAGAAAGTTGGATTGTAAATCACTAAAGTCGAAATAAAAATCCTTTTTTTAATCCAAACTGTGCTTCAAAAGACTGCATCTTAATGAACATCATGCTTTCTATATTCTACTGTATTTATGTGCTTTATTAGAAGCCACACCAGCCTCCACACTGTGTGTTTTTCTGTGTATACAGGAGAGCCAGTCAGAGGTGAGTCGCCTGCAGAAGCAGAAGGAGGAGTTGTGTGCTCAGATCAGAGACCTCAGCCTGCCGGTTGATCTCGCCTCAGACTCGGTGCCTGACATGAAGAAACAGATTCGTCTCCTGGAGAGCCAAGCCAGCGAGAGAGCTGAAGAAATGGCCAAACTCTCCGCCCAAATTCAGCAACAGCAGCAGGTGCTGAAGAGCGTACAGGAGGAAAGATAACCCAACCCTTTCTGCTCGCTGTCTCAACTCATTTATATCCTTTATCAAACAGATCCACATGCGTTTTGAGATAGAGATGGAGAGGATGAAGCAGATGCATCAGAAAGAGTTGGAGGACAAAGAAGAAGAGCTGGAGGATGTCCATAAGTCCTCTCAAAGAAGGGTGGGTTTTGCATAAAGGTGATGCACATTTAATTGTCTGACAAATGTTACTCTCATGAACTCTCATATGGGATTCTCCTATTATATTGTTAACAAATATATAATAATATTTATCATTTCATCTATCATGTTATGCAGTTAAATGCTTTGTGACATTATGATATTTATTCATATGACTTCCACTGTCATATGTTGTTCTGTGAACACACACCTAACTGGTTTTTGTGTAGGACATGTGATAATAATAATTTCCATTTGTGTAAGAATTTATTTACAAAAATAATTAAATTCAACTCAAGCATATTTCAATAAAAAAAACTTGAATGAACTTGTGAAAATCAACTTAACCATGTTACTATGTACACACAAGGAAAGGCCAGTTTGTTTATGTAGAAAATTCAGTACAAAAAACATTCAGTGTTTTATGAGTTCAAAAATAAAATACAACAAAAATAACATCAGTATAAAAGCAAGTAAAGAAAAAAGCATTAGCAAAGAATGGAGTAAAGCAGGTAGTAAAGCAAATAAGAGAGTTGGATCACAACTTTAAATTAATAATAGCTCAGTTAACAGTTTAACTTCAACAGTCAAATGCAGCTCTAAACAAATGGGTTTTTAAAGGAAAAGTCTGGTCAGCAAAAAAATAACCACTGGATCATTATTTATACCTAAAATGAATATGTTTGCGGTTATTTAATGAGCGACCATTTTTGCCCAAATATAGTAACACCATCTGCCAGCAGTGACGTCACGGTGCGGTTAGCCTAGCGCCATTCTCCCCGCTTTACAAGCAAAATCAATGGGAACTACTAGACACATCTGCAATAAACAATAATTACTGAAGATTTCACCATTGAAATTCACCAGAGCTATAGTGAAACTGACAATGCTCACGTGCATGGCAGCTGGATGCTGGAATACATTGGGTAAAAGTGCAAAAAAAAAAAGTTATTTGATGTTTCTGATTCCTGATCCTCCACGGACGGGTTGGTCGTTGGATTGCCAACTCAAAGAGGGAGGATTTGCCATTGAACTTCTGGCCAGAGAAAAAAACCCGTAATATGTAGCCAACATTTGGAAGAAGAATGTTTTCAAGATGACTTGGATAATAGCACGTTGTGACAAACACCAGATACAGCACTGGGACTTGATCAACAGCTGATACCGCACCGTGACGTCACAAACCAGTAGGTGGCAGTAGTGTTCTTTGACAAACATGGATGCCTCCAGTAAAGCACATTCAAATCAAAATTACTCTTAATTAAAAACACTGATCATTTATTGAACAATATGTAATAATTTCATATTTAAAGTACTTTCAGAAGTTTGTAATTTGAATGTGACCGGACTTTTCCTTTAACTTTGACTTCAGAGTTAAACCTCGAAGGTTCGCTGGTTGCCACGGTTCTCTCAACTTCAGATTTTTTTTTTTTATTACTCGGTAAATGGGCGATAACGTGCCGTTTAAAAGTATAATGTTCTCACCTCAAATGATCTTCAAACGTACTTTTATTGAAAAACAGCAACAGAAAAGAGAAGTTTTAACTTAATATTTGGAGCTCTGTGAGCGCTCCTTTAAAAGCTGCTGCTGCCACAGTGCATGCTGGGACAGCTGACAGTCACGGTCTGACAGTCACGGCCCCAGAATGGAGCCGTGAGGAACCCCATATTTAAAGTTCTCTACTGATACATAGCAGTTAATGTCTTTCAGGTAGAATTTAAACCTGCCCAGTGTGGTACCAGAAAGGCCGACCCAGTTTTCCAGGCGCTCTAATAAAATCAAGTGATCAACAGTATCAAACGCTGCACAGAGGTCTAATAATACCAGCACTGTGGTTCTTCCACAGTCTGAATTTATTCAAATGTCATTGAACACCTTAATCAGGCCAGTTTCTGTACTGTAGTTGGCATGGAAACCTGACCGGAAGACATCAAAGCAGCTGTTTATTATTAAGAAGGCATTTAATGGTTAATACACAACTTTTTAAAGAATCTTAGTGATGAATGGGACGTTTGAGATGACCTGTAGTTCTGCAGGACCAATTTGTCCAAGCTTCTCTTTTTCAGCAATATGCCCCGGAGGTGACTGTCGGATTATTCTGGATTATTCCCAGAACCTAGACAATACGTCCACAGCCTGGAGGAGAGGCAACCATTACTTTACAAATGTTTGCAGAAGTCTGCATGCTTGGATCCTCAATTGTACACAATGGCAGCCATGAAGTTATTATTATTATTAGGATATCTGTGATCACCTCAGCTGCCTAGCCTGCCTTTTTGATCAGTTTTAAGTCTACCTATGTTTTTTTTTTTAGCTCCTCCTACAAAAGACATTATTTAAAGAAGTTATTTTACATCTACCTTCTTTTTTTGTTTCTGTTGTTTTACTGCAACAAACAGAGATAATGGTTTCTAAATTAAATTTGGATGACAAATCTAATCCAAAAACGGATTCAACATTAAGAAAACTTTATTAAATTAGTGCATTTTTTAATTAGTGTATTTTTATGAATATTTAACTGACTTATTTATTTTTTTGCATTTGCAAAGTTAAAGTTTTCTCAAAGAGAATCGTTCTTTAGTCATACTAATGTCCATGCAGGACAGTCGTTGATGTTTATACTGTATGTGTGGATTTGTGCAGCTCAAGCAGCTGGAGATGCAGTTGGAGCAGGAGTATGAGGAGAAGCAGATGGTGATTCATGAGAAGCATGACCTGGAGGGACTCATTGCAACTTTGTGTGAGCAGGTAAGTTCCCTCCCAAACACGCATGGAGACAAGATACAAAGATCACACAGAGTTGATGTTAAAGGAGAACGCCGTTTTTTTAGATTGGGAATCACTGTCCCCCAGAAGAGTCTGGGGGACAGTGATTCCCAATCTAAAAAAACGGCGTTCTCCTTTAACATCAAC